AAGTGTAATGAAAATGCGATATAAGAAATAAAAATTGTTAAATGACCTTAATATAATTGAAAATAATGTTGAAGTATTATTATTCTATACTTGTTGATAACAAGGTACATTAAAATGGACGTATTAAAAGACTAAAAATATATACTTTCAATAAGGAAAATTGCCTATAATTTGGGATAGACAAAAATGGAAATCAAATCTATTTTTACAGGATGGAGGTAAACTAAATACAGAGAAGAAAAGCACCAGAAAACAGCTCCTTATCATTGATTCAGTTAAGAAAATTTGACTTCCAACTCCAAATAGATCGAACTTCAACAACGTGGGTTAAAGATACACTATTATCTTATATGACATACATAATAATTTTATTATTGAAACAACCAGCAGAAGGAAATTGCAAACATGCACAAGCAAGTCCTAAACCACTTCCCATGCCTACGGGCGAGGAGGCAGTAACTTCAATACAGAATACGCACGGCATACACTACTATTATATACTCTACAAAGCATGATTCCACGGACCTCGACCACGTCCCCTACTAACGTAGCCATATCCCCCGTAACCCCTTCCACGATAAGAGCCACGAAAACGACCACCACGACCAGGTCCCCGACCTCCTCGGCCCCCTCCATACCTAGAAAACTCTCCAAAAGTCTGCATTTGCCACATATGAATTAGCTGAAGTCACAAAAATAGAATCTGAAGAGATCAACTAATACAATAAAAGTACCTCAGTATCTAGCTTCATCTGCTCTGAATACCTAGTTCTTCCATGATTTGGGTCATTGTCCAGTGCATTACAAGAAAGGGAATCGAAAAAGTCGTCCTTATTATAAACAGGCTGCAGAGAATTTGAAGTATATTTGAGAATTCATATATAATAGAGACTTGTATCAAGTGAACATGTAGGCATCAACATAGACAAATGAAAGAATCACCCTGACCTCTATCTTTGGCAATTCAGCATCATCTTCATCTTGTAAATCATCTTCGTCACTGTCGTTTCCATTCTCATCCTTCAATTGAGATTTGTTACTTTTTCCCAGATGGCCCCAGACCTCATCCTTTTTGAATTTCTCATTCATCGCAGTGAAATCAAAATCTTCAGTGAACTTTGCCACTGGCGTTCTCTGAGAACCATGTACAAGACAAAACATGGAATCATGCATTCGTTCAAATGATATGGAGATGAAATTAATCACCAAAAGCTCTGAAGGATACCTCTTGAGGAAAATCTACTAAGCCCCCGTTTGGCCCACATTAAATTCCATTACATTACATTCCATTTTTCTCTCTCCTATTTTCAACCACACAATCTTCCATAAAATAATATTACACGTGACTCGAAAACTTTTCATTCTTTTTCAACCACTCATTTTTCAAAAAATTACTATTCCACCCATTTTTACTTCTAGAAAATGGGGGCCAAACGGGGGCTAAATAGATTGTAGAAATTTTGAATATTTAAAGAACTCTGGTATCGTAAATTATATGAATTTATGTGCACAAGGAAAAAGCAAGTCATTACCGCAGGTCCAGATCCAGATCCAGGTCCAGGTCCTCTTCCTCTTCCACCACGCCCTCTGTAATTGTTACGCATCTGATAAGTAGCTCCATTTGGCAACTGTGGACAGCAGAAAATATGCTATTAGCATCTCAGCCCCTTTTTACAGTTTGTTGAAGAGCCAGAAGTGAACTTACACTGGATCAAATTAACAATTTCAATCCCACCGGCAGAAAGGGGTAAGAAAACAATAACTAAAGCTACGACTAAAATTAATTATAATGAGTTTCCCTTCGAGAAAGAGCATGGGAAAGCATAAGGAGAAGTTTTGCAAGTTGATGCTAATTAAAACAGGGGCATCACACGTTGCATCTTCTCCAGACAATTTTTCAAAAACTCTAATATCTCTTCAACGCATGCATGAACAATACAGTACACTTGTTTTTATTTTCTAGCTAACATGAATGTGATGTCAATCAGGAACCAGAATTCTTACAAGCTAAACTTTCAGTTACGACCTGCATATAAGATCATATTTTATGCAGCGCAAAAACTGGAAAAATGAGTGTGTTTGGAGGGCTTTTCCAAAGCCTAAAAGCACTTCCTGGAGATCAAAAGCTCTTTTGTTTAAAATATTGGCGGTTAAGCTAAAGTCAAAAAGTACTATTTAGCTCAACAAAGTTGTTTTAGAGATGCCCAAATTTTGAGCTTCCCAAAAAAAGCTCTAATTGAGCTTTTACGGGGAGTTGGAACTTACATTGAATGAAGCCATCTGATGAATTTTAAAAATTTACGAAATACACATTAATGAAATAAAAAATTTATATCTTCTAAGCAAATTAAATAAACATAAAGATTATGACCCCGTTTGGCCCCTATTAAAACTCATCAATTTAATTTAAATTTTTCTCTCCCCTATTTTCAACCACACAATTTTCAATAAAATAATATTATATGCAAATCGAAAACTTTTCATTCTTTTACACCCATACATTTTTCAAAAAAAAAAAAAAAACACCAAACCCAACCCAACAATCATTTATGTTTTAAAAAATACTATTTCCCGAATTATAAATCCAAATAATGGGGGCCAAACAGGAGCTATATAAAAGCACATTTATGGTCATTCTGCCAAAAAAGTTAACTCATAGCACTAATTGGATTGACAACCAAACATTAAAAGAATTTTTTTTCAATAAAAGCACTGCTGCCAAAAGCTCTACTCAAAACAGTAGTGCCAAACAACACCGAGTCTCATAACATTTCATAAAAACTTTGTGGTTACATATCTATAGATCCTATGACATCTTCAAAATTCAAGATCTAAAACCATTACAGTTTACAAGCACTCAATGGCATTCAATCAAAAAAAATCAAATTTCAGGACCTTAAAAAGACACAAATATTTGCATGTATGTGTGCATATAACGAGAGAGGAACACCTTTTGGAATCTTGTGCTTTGGGGCAAAGGTAATATTGGTGGTTGAGTTTCAGTTGCAACTGTAACAGGTCGAACTGCAGATGGCTTTGATGTCACTTGAACTACTTCCACATCCCTCTGAGCTGTTTGAGAATGTTGAGTTGAAGGAGCTGTAGTTGGTCCAGATTGCAGCAGCTGACCAGGGGTTATAAGTGAAGGGGCGGATGTTTCTGCAAGAACTGATCTTGATGTCCCACAAACAGACGTCAAAGGCTGAGACATGGTCTGATGTGGCAAGGCTACTGGGCTGGATATTGCACTAGGTTTGCTAGCAACTGAAGGCATTCCAGAATTGTCAGGAATTGATGAAGACAGCGGAGCCAAAGGTGAAAAGCTAGAACTCTGTGTTGAGATAGGGATAGCTGAAATAGGAGCTTTATTTGGCATTGGATTTGACATTGTTTCAGATGCCGGTGACACAGATTGCAGTGGAGGAACACTCAAATACAGAGTTGAAGAAGGTAAAGAAGTAGAGCTTAAGCTAACAGAAGCAGTGTTATTAAGAACCAAGGGAGAAGGATATTCTGGCAGATTCGAACCTGGAAAGCTTGATACTCCTGGTGGTAAAGATGAGTTAAAACCAGAATATGGCATATGTTGCATTGATGGAGGCATTGACAGTCCCGGAGGTGGCCGAAGCAAGGACTGTTGGGGTTGTTGAGTGAGGCCATTTGGTGCGCCATAGATTCCCTGCCAATACATTGGCATAGCTATCCCACTTCCATTAGCATTTGGTGGAGGAGAAGGCCCCCAAGAGTTCAAGTTCGCTCCTGGTTGATATAAAGGCAGACCACTTTGGAAAGTTGACCCGGGGTGTCCCAACTGAGTAGAATGAGAACCAAGATCTGTCAAAGACCCAGAAACAACTGTGGGCAAGCTTGTGGGTGCAGTTGCTGGAAGAGGATAGTGAGACTGCACACAGAAACCTATAGGTTAATCAAATAAATTCAGCCCCTAGCATAGCACTACTACAATCTTTATGCTACTTGCCTGAATAATGGCCGGATCGCTGTTTATAGGTGGCGTACTTTGAACAGGCGGAGAAGATTTGACCTGAAGATCCTGAGGAGAGCAGAATGGAAGGAAGAATTTGAGGCTAACAGGAAAAGATCGAATAAATAAACATTACTGCCTAAACATTATTCAGAAGACACAGTTAGTAACCATGTTTCCACTTTCCATTAAGACTAACACTTTCACAGGTGGTTATGAGAAACTTTTCAAACCAAAACAGCCAATTTGTACAATCACAGAAAAGGTCAGTGTATTTCAATAGATTGATTACCAAATTGGTGGTCAGAAAGAATATAGAGGAATGAGAATTTAAAAAAATAAAAAAACAAGAAATGTAAAAGGAAACATACAATAAAGAATGTTAGTGTTTTTCATTAACCCAAAAATCAATAATAATACCAAGTTGAGGCTTATACTTCCCATTGAAAAGAGATTAAGAGCTTAACCAGCCATATAAAAACCTTAATTTTTCAACAAAAAACTAAACAAGCATAAAGTTGCAATCAGATACCTTGATATCACTTTCTCTAAACAGTATATGGAAACAAAAAACAGGGAATTTCCTGACATGTTAAAAAACCTTAATTTTTCAACAAAAACTAAAGAAGCATGAAGTTGCAATCAGATACCTTGATATCACTTCCTCTAAACAGTATATACTCATAAACTTTGTCACTAGGAGGGACTTGTGGACCATCCTTTTTTCGTCCTTCTGTTCCAAATGATCTCACTGCAGCAAGATAAATCCACACCAACAGTTAGGTTACATCTATATTTTAACATAATAATCAAAGAGATTGTTGATGAAATTTACTCAGCATACAAAGAAATTCAAAAATTTTGATGATGAAGAAAAGTTATTGCAAATGACTATATAGCCAATAGTGTTTCATACTTGTTTAAGTTTCCAGCAACAGCCATGCTGTAGGTCATATAACTTAACTTCGTTGTATGTTGAAGTTAAACACTTAAAATGCTATCATCTCTTCTTATAGTTAATATGACGCAAGCCAAAGCCCATGTAATTGAAGAAACTGAGTGCAGTTTACAAATTAAAATCCCATGTATTGATCCGTATAAATTTTCCACCAAGAAAATTTGAACAGCTCAAATTCCTCTATCAAAGATCCCTACAGCACTATTTTTTAATTCAATTTAAAAGTTAATTACTAGCATAAATAAACTTAGGAAGCCATATACCAATTAAAAGTATTTACTGTTTTATAGTTTTAAATTTATAATATGTGAAAAATTACTTAAAAAATCTCGTCTTTTCTCAGTTTTCATGGCCAGAAAAATGTAAAGAGATATTTCCATAAAACAATACAATCTAAACTGCTCCCCAAAAATTAAAAGAAAAAAAGTTTTAAGAATGGCTAAAATGTAACAAGAAAACGCTAGTAAAAGTAATAAATGTAGCAGAATTATTCAAAAAATAAATATCATAACTCAAAAAATGATGGTAATTCCTATTAAATCCGAATAGCAAAAGATTATTTTTTTAAAAAAAGTAAAAGAATAAAAACCATGGAGAAAAAATCAATCAAGCATGCAAATCAACAAAAGGAGGAACTAAAATTAAAAAGGGTAATTATTCAATCGGGATAAAAATTCTACCAACAGCACAGAAAAATGAAACCCTGTGACGATCAATCAATTAAAAAGTCAACAAAATCTTTAAAAAGAAAAAGAATCTTAATAATACTAAAGTGACAAAAAGAACAAATTCTTATTTTTTATGAATTTCTCACCGTTACGGAGGCCGATGCTAGATTCTTCCGTGTTGATGTTGTAAAGAATACCTTCGTATCTAATCTCACTCTTCGAAGTCAAGCTTATCAAGCTGCCGATATACGAGTCCGCCGTTGCTCCGCCGCCGCTGCCACTAGATCTACTACTAGATGCTGCTGCTGAATTCTCCGCCGCCGCCATTTTGTGATTCTATTCACTATAATTACCTTGAATCATATATATATATATACACGTCGGTAGATATGTATGGAGAGAAAGCGAACAGACTCTTCAATCGGCCAGATGAGCGGGTGTAGGGTTTTATTTTTTCTACTTCTCCATTTTCTATAAAATAAATTTTGTTAAAATAAAAAAAAAATATATATATATATATGGCTTAAGTGTAAGAGCGTGTTTGGTACAGATTTTAAATCAATTAAAATAAATTTTTTTATCGTTATTTCACTATTTCAGTTATCATTTTTTAATTTTTTTCATAAATAGGATCCACTTTCCATCTAACGATCAAAAAGTCAATTATCAAAATTTCTATCAAACAAGCATTAAAATTATTTTACTGAAAAATATGTAAATCGGTGAAAAAAATGAATTTTAGAAATACCAAACATGCACAAGTAGTACTCCTTTTATAGTGAAGCTAGACCTCCAACTATAAAGGGGAGAAAATTTTATTAGTGGAATATATAATGTAAAGTAAAAATTAATTTAAAATTCATGTGGCTATGTTGCCCACTCGATCATCATGTAATGACAAAGACAGTATCTCTTATTCTCTGGTTCAAAATCACTAATTAGAGTAGGCTACCATGATTTTATTTTTCTAATCTATTCATAGAATGTATAAATCTATCTCATTGTCACATGGTCGAACATATCAATTAGGGTGTGTTTGATATGAGAGATTTTCCATGGTCTATTTTTCAATTTTAAGGGTATTTGATGGCTTTTTTTTTCCATGGAAATGAAATTCTTGGTTGCCTTGTGACCTAGGATTTTTCTTAGTTTTCCCGGTTACTGTAGCAAAAAAAATTTCGTTTTTTTAAGTAATGGAAACAAATTTTATCTCTAATTATAAAAAAAAAATATTTTCCTTTAATTGACGAATTTCATGTAAAATAAAGTCAAACGAACACCAAAAAATAGATGATTTTCTTGATTTTTTGTTTTTTGTTTTTTTTTTTCGTTTTGTTTTTTTTTTTTTTTTTTTTTGTTTTTTTTTTTCGTTTTGTTTTTTTTTTTTTTTTTTTTTGTTTTTTTTTTTCGTTTTGTTTTTTTTTTTTTTTTTTTTTGTTTTTTTTTTTCGTTTTGTTTTTTTTTTTTTTTTTTTTTGTTTTTTTTTTTCGTTTTGTTTTTTTTTTTTTTTTTTTTTGTTTTTTTTTTTCGTTTTGTTTTTTTTTTTTTTTTTTTTTTTCGTTTTGTTTTTTTTTTTTTTATGAAAACAAATTTCATTTCCAATACTACTAAAATTTATCCTTTTAATTGTCGATTTTCATATAAAATAAAATCAAACGAACACAAAAAACACTTTTATTTCAATGAATTCCACGTGGAAAATTATATCAATCAAACACAATAATTTACAATTCCCAAAAAAATAATTTCTAGATAAATCAATTATCTGGAATTCGTTTTCTTTGCACCCAAATTCCATCTTCTCAATCAAACGGTTCCTTATAGTTCTAACATTTCTAATGAAAATATGATTGAAGTAGTTGCCTTGAGTACGTGTCATGGGACGGCTCATTGGAGAAGTGGATGAAAAGTATGTACGTTAATATTGAAATCATGAGATAAATATTATGGTTTGCAATCTACATGATACAAACATAGAAAGACTTTCAGTCTATGCACGATTGATGTTTAATAAATCACGATGAAATTCAAATTTCTTCTTCAATAAGTTCGTTTATAACTCAAATAGCATAGAGAAAAAAAAATAAGAAGCATAAAAAATAAAGAGATGGTTTAAATTTTTCTAACTCAAAATCCATCAAACAAAAGCTTCGCATATAAGTGGACATCTAGACTGTCTTTTCTATCACTTCAGCTTGATGAAGTCTCATTTTGCTTGCATTGGAGAGAGATTTTTAAAAGACCATCTACTTTTGTTTACAAGGCACTACTTTCATAGCAATCCAAAGTTATGTTTGGAGATGCTCTAATATGCCTCCGTTAGGTTTCTATTAATTATCATTTTATTACATTTTACTTTTCTTTATTTTATTTTTAACCACACAATCCTTAATAAAATAATATTACACGTAAATCGAAAAATTTTCCTTTTTTTGCAACCACTCATTTTTAATTTTCATTTCATTACATTTCATTTTTCTCTCTATTATTTTCTACCACACAATTTTTCATAAAATAATATCACACGTAAATAAAAAAAATATATTCTTTCTTTTTCAACCACTCATTTTTCAAAAAATATTATTCCAGCATTTTCATTTTTACAAAATGGGGGTCAAACGTGGGCTATGTTAAATCTACTTACATATAAAAGTGAATATAATTCTAAATTATCTACGCAATCACCAAAACATATGCAACATATACCATCCAAAAATTTATTTTAGTGGGAATTAAAATCAGATTTTTAATATATTTTAATAAAAGTTGATAAAATATATGATTGAAAAATTGTGAATGCCATGAAATGTGTAGTTAATATTAACTATTAATTTTGACTTAAATTAAAATCTAAATTTTAATTTTTATCAAAGAGGGCTTAGATTTAACCCATGTTAGTCACCCAAGATTGTTATTATGTTATCAATTTTGCTACATGTACACTTCGGTTTAGATCTTGGCTTACAGATCTTACACTTAGCATGATCTCATATCATCTTTTACATTTCACACAGTTAATTTAGCCGTTAGAAAACTTCCACATAAGCAATTTGTCAAGAGACTTGTGAAGTAAAATGTACAAATAGCTTAATTCATTTTGTTATTCCCATAATAAACTGGAGGAAATACAAGTAAATAGCCATTTGACCCAATCATATTTCCACAAATGGCCTTTGACCAATTTTAAAAAAATATATAGTTAAAATAGGTTTTTATATGACATTTTCCAAAATACCCCCATCTTCTACCATCAAAGAAAGGAGAAAAAGAAGCAAGAAAAAATTTCATGTTTACCATTGGAATCCAGTTGAGAGTTGAGTTCTCACAGTCTACCCACACCGATCACCACAAAATTCGTTCATTATCTCCAACACAATGTTGGTTTTTTGGGAAGCTATAGATTTTTCATTTTATTTGTTTTGTAAATTTTACATTAAGGCTCCGTTTGATTGCACAAAATTTTCCATGGAACTTGGAATTCGAATTCCAACTTCTACTTTTGGCCTGTTTGATTGACTAAATATTCCAGAGAATTGATTTTCCATGTATTTCTAGATACAATATCTTAAAGCATGATTTTCCACATTTTATTTTCCTAGGGGTTGCTGGTTTTTGGTTTTCCACCTTTTTTTTTTATTTTTTTTTTTTTAAGTTGTTGGCAATAATAACAAATTTTAGAAACAATTGTAAAAGAGGATATACTTGAAATTGACAATTTTCATGCAAAACAAAGCCAAACAAACACCAAAATATAGATGATTTTTTAATCTTTTTTTTTTTGTGCAATGGAAACAAATTCTAGAAACAATGGTAGAAGTGGATATCATTTAAATTAATAATTTTCATGAAAACACAAAGTCAAACGAACACAAAAAAAACATTTTTACTTCAATATTTTTCACGTGGAAAATTATACCAATCAAACACAATAATTTACAATTCCCAAGAAAATAATTTCTAGGTAATTCAATTCCCTGGAATTCATTTTCTTTCCACCCAAATTTCATCTTCGCAATCAAACAGACCCTAAATTCTTGTGTATAATGTATATAAGTAGCTTATAATTTATTATTTAAGTAGATTTAGAGGGTGTTAATTGAATTTTAGGGGCCGATTTAAGCTTAAGGTCGCTAGAAATGACAAGAGTTTCCAGCAAGAGTGCTCGCCATTTTCGACGAGGAGTCAGTAAGAACTAACTGTTATGGTCGATTTTAGGCCCACAATAACTTTTCATTTTTTTTATTCCTTTTCATTTTTTGATCTTTTTTTTTTCATATGTTTGCTTTCCTTTCTTTTTGTTTTTATTATAATATTTTTGAAGATTGATTTAAAATTTATTTTTGATTTAAATTATAAATATAATTGGTTGTTCAATTTAAAATTCTTTTTAATTGCTTTCATTTTATGATAAAACGTAATTTTTTCTATTTTTAAATAATATTTAATTTTAATTTTAATTTTTTTCCTTTTTTGTTTTTTTTTTCATTTTTTTTGTATTTCTTTTTAATTTTAATTTCCTTTTGTTCTTTTTTCCCCTCCCTTTTTTCCTTTTTCTCTTTTTTTCCATTTATTTTTTTCCCTTCTTTTTCTTTTTTTTTCTCCTTTTCTTTTATCTTTCCTTTTTCTCTTTTTTGTTTTTTTGCCTTTTATATTTTTTCCTTCTTTTCCTTTTCTTTTTGCCGTTTTTTTTCCTTTTTTCTTTGTTTTATTTTTTTTAAAATGGATTGTTCAGCAAAGTCCTCATTTTAGCCAAAGAGTCGGCTCTTTTTTTGTTTCTTTTTTTTTTCCTTTGCTTTTCCATTTTTCCCTTTATTCCATTTTTTCTTTCAATTTTTATTTAAAAATTTTATAATAACTTTTTTTTATTTTTGTTTGCAATTCATTAGTTTTTTATTCGTACCGGTGTAAAATAAAGTTACGTCTTGTATATAATAGTTACAATTTGATTCGCCTAACTTTTTGAAATTATGATTTATTTTGTTATCTCTTCTTTAATGTTCTAACATTTGAATTTTTGTAGAATGTAATATCATCTCGATAAAGAGTCGAGATTGATGCCGAAAAAAGCAATGTGGATAAGTAGCTTCGATAGTTTCACTATAGTAATGGAGTTGCTGAATGATCAGCGCAATTTGGAATAGTAGTTTCGACAGTTCACTACAGTACTGGAGTTGCTGGATGATCGGCACGTAGATATTCTTTGTCAATTCTTCCTCTAGCCCCTATATGAGTTTATGGAAGTACAATACTTCGGGCAGACCATCGGCACACTATTGTATCGACTGCTTAGACCAGTTAATAGAGATGTCTTCTACTTTGACATTGGGTATGGTCGCTACGTTTTCCTTGTTCGAATTTGCCCTGATGACCGGGCTAAAGATCACAGGTGATGAAGCAGCTTGTGACGGTATGCAGAGAAATAACAGGCTGCACGACGCATATTTCTAGGGCAAGGGAACGCTTC